GGCGGCGGCGGTGGCGGCAGTAATGGATGCGGGGAACTCCATTGCCCGCCGAGGGCGGCCTCCCTCCGTGCAGAAGGGTTCATGGTGCACTTTTCACGATGGTTCAATGTCCGTTCCAGTAGGCACCCACAGCAGAAATGTTCTGCTGCCGTGCCTCGGCTGGTAAGGTGTTGACCCATCGACCGCAGACAGTCACTTTCCATAGTAAACTCAACTGCCGCAGAAACAGTCGGAGAAACACTTTTCTCAACGACAAAGTGCAAGCACAAAACACGATGACCCAACTCGATCCGTCTCCACTTCACGACTATATTCGTAACAACTCTCAAAACGCCTTATATAAATATGGTGCCTCGACCCCTCTCAAGCCAGGTGCTCTGCTCAGATTGGTCGTTACTTAAATTACGATAATAATGTTATTTAGTCTAGGAAAAACGTAACTTAAAAAGTAAGATCAAATTAAAAGTTATTAGAAGCTTTTACAATATCAATAAACATTAAACATTGCACACTATGCATTAAACAGTAATTCAGTTGACAATGGCTACTTAATAACTTCCTACTTTAAATATATTGTTAGCTGAGGGTGGAACTTAAAAATAATGGTGGGTTGATGCCAATATAAGATCCCGCACCCTCATTTTCGGGACACACTCGCCACCGAACACTGAAGCCAGCGGAAGCTCTGCCCGTTTGACTAGCCAAAATAATTAATCATTTTAACTCTGATAGTTGATTAAATTATGTATTTTTAAATCATTTTAGTGTTAATTACATTTATTCAATTCTGTTAGTTTTCTTATTAAATCAAAAAGTACTGTAGTAGTGTATAAGAGATTGTTTTTTTTAATTTTCCCTGCTTCTGATCCTTAAGATCAGAAGTGGGATAGTGAAACTCCCACGCCCTTGTTTGTACATCCTGATACGATGTGTTTCCATTGTTATTTCTTTAATTGGCTAGTCATACGATCAGAAATATATTTTTGGAAATTGTAACTACACTTGTTTAAAAGGACAAATTAGCACTTTGTTGTCGGTGTTTCGTATAATATACGTAAGTTGGACGTGATGTGACGGTGTGTTCAAGTTTTATGATGTCAACTTTGGTGAGTACGTTCCAATTATTTTATTCTCCGTTTCGTTCTTGTTCTCCCTCGCGGCTCCACCACCATAGGAAGCACGGTGGCGGACAATCGTCCACCTCCGGCGCCTCCACCGGTTGGGGCCCGGCTAGCGCGCTAGACCCGTCGGGACACCATCGACTAGTCCTGCGCGCACCGCCAGGCCCGGGTCCGGCTAGCGCGCTAGACCTATCGACACCTCGTCGACTAGTCTTGCACGCACCGCCAGACCCTGGTGTTTGGTTCGCGGGGCTTGCGCCCTACCCCGACACGAATGCCGGGGCGTACCCCTATCCACCACCCAGGGACGCGCCACGTCGGAGTTCACCTCTCCGCCCACTCGGACAACCGAGCAGGTCCGTGGAGGTCCGCGGTGCCTGTGACAACCATCAGCACCGAGCCCGTTCCTGCCAAAATGCCTGTTCCAAAATGTAGCTTAAATAATTTTTAAGTTGTAATAACCTCTAATTATTATATGTAGTCATTTATCTTTTCCTACATTTTTAATTTTACGTTATATTATAATATTTTTTTTAGTTGCAAAGAAGGTTCAAAGAAGAAAGAAATTTTGGCTTGCATAAAATTATCCGGTGTGAATGCGAAGAAAATTTGTTGTGACGAGAAGTTTTCTTGTTGTGTAACAGTTGATCATCCCGGACACATTCATATCATGAATTTAATGCACGCAAACACGTAGCATCTCATCCAAGGAGGTTTCATATTTTTATGGACCTCTTTACAGTGTTGAAGAAAAAGAAGTCAATGCAAACGCCATTTAAGTCTAACTACGTGTCACTGCCATGTTTTTTCTATTTCAATTATTTTTAATTTTAAATAATAGCTTGAACATGATTATGTCCAGGAATTGTGTGCACGCTATTAGCATGAAAAATGCAAAATTCAGTACATATATTAGTTTTATGTAGACATTTTTTTGAACAACGTAAATAATATGTATTTTTTAATTATGTTTAATTTTCAATTATTTCGCTGGTTATTTCCAAATCCAATTTTATGATTATTTGCTAAACATTTAATTAATTAATAAAATACGTAAATAATTGCTCCATTTAAATGCTTTAATGGATTTAAATATTAATTTAATGCTCAAATTTTTTTTTTTTAAGCAATTGCTCAATAACTTGTCAATTTTTTGTCTACGTAATATTATACGTAACGCAATAATTATACAACGAAAAACGTATTCTAAGTTCCAAAAAATTGTTTATATTTTTAATAATAGCATAATTTATAAATAAATTGATTTTTTTAAGTTAGAACAATTTAGTTTTTAAACTATATTATAACATGATAAATAAGTTGCTATATTTTATTTTTGAAATACAAATTTAAGGTGCCCTAAATAAAATTAATGATCTGTCACAAATTTAACTGCCATAAATCTACCAAATGTGTAAAATTTACAAGTCTTTTTCAGTAGCTTTCTTTTATATTGAAAGCCTAAATCAAAGCTTCACCCTGTAAGGTAGATGGCGTTGATTTCCGTACTTTGTTTTTTGTTGCAGTGTCACTGAACGGATCAACTGTCATTTTTATGACGTCATAAATCTGTTGACATCTGTCACTGACAGTCAGATTGTCACTGTCACTTCAGTATCCGTTATCCGGTCGGCGCTTGCGCATAGGCGAATATTTATCATGTTCTAAGTTTTGCAATTTCTTGCAGTTTTTTTGTTTTAAATTAAAGTGAATAAAAAAATATATTCAATTTTTAACATGAATATAATCTTAATAATAGGGGCGCTTCTATCTAGCGGAATAACTTTTGTCGGACCATCGTCAGTGGCTAGGGGAGAATATGGAGAAATTAAATTATTCCAGTCGCCGGCAACTTACAGCGTGGAAAGTATGGTCCTGTTGAATGACGCTGGCAGACAGGATAAGGAGGTTGGATATAAAATCGCCGGTAGTTTGGACGTTCAGGCCGTATGGGGCATTGACTCAGACTTCCTTTTAAAATTCACTGTACGTATTACTATTACATTTTTCGTATGAAAGAAACACATAAGTTTGAATAAATCATATTCATAAATAAATTACCTTATTTATATGTGAAGCGTGTGTGAAATACTAATTATATAAAAGGTCCTAAAGGTCAATGAACTCATTATTCTTGTTTGAAAATAACTCCTAAGTGATGACCCTATCAAAGAATATAAATCAGCTTAACTAAAGTTTTTATGTTAAGAAAGAAAACAAGATTGAAGCATGAATATCTTAAAAATATTGATTTTTCTTACAGTTAAATTCTCCAAAATTATTAGCTAGAGGGAAACTAGTTACAGCGGATTATTTACCCATTAAATCAATTTGGGACTCTTATTATAAGACTGAATTCTATGCCCATTGGAAAAATGGAATCATTACTAACGCCTATTTGAATCCTGATGAAGTTACTGATGTATTGAATTATAAAAAGTCTTTGATAAGTCTTTTTCAGGTAAGATATTTGAAAATTAAAAATAATAAATTTAGTAGTTAGAAATTCATCCATGTAAATAAAAAAAAACTGCTTCTTTATTTAATTGTGGAGTTATTGAGTGATCTGTTAACTTTTCTTAGATGAAATTGTCTGGATGCTTTAACTCATAGGTGACAGTAAGTATTTATACAATGGCTGTATTGCAACCTGCACATATCTAAGAAGAAATTCAAAAGATATGTGTGAAGTCAACCAACCCGCACTTGAACAGCATGGTTGACTATGGCCTAATCACCCTTAACTTAGGGTAGGCTCCAAGCCCCTCGGTGGGGAGGTATAGTGAGCTGATGATGATGTATTGCACTGATATTAAGCGCTACTGTCATACTGTACTGGCGTAATGTAAATCAAGCATTATTCCAGATTAGTATAAATTGATATTTTATTAAAAATATGTTTTAACATTTTCAGCTTCAAATTATAGATGGAGAACACAATGAAACTGATGTTTCCGGGAATTGTGATGTATTATATGATTCTATTTCCATGCAGATCATCAGAAAGATAAAGGTAAATTAGTCCCTTCTTCAGTACCAAATAGTTCTTAGGAATTGAAAGAAAACATTTATATGGTTCACTCTAAAAAATGGACCTCTACCTACCATCATCCCTTCAAACAAATATACATATGTGTAAAGCAGTCTCAAAAAATCTCCTTCTCACTGGAGTTCTATTCAGTATTCACAATAAAACACTGGTTATATCATGGTGCGAGTCAATTTAACTGAAATGCAATGGGCAGGTTGATACATATAAGACATATAACAATACCGCGATCTAGTAATATGTTCCGCCATCTATTGTGATTATAATATCATTTAAATTGTCATAACATTTGACAATATTTTTTATAAAATTACTAGTATAGTTTAGCTGATCTTTCAGTAAACTGCACAAAATACATTACAGGACATATCTATTGGTTGGCACACCTAGTGTTTTAAGTTTTGATGGTCCCTAGTTCAAAATAAATGTTTGGTTAGGTTCGGTTGTTATACAGCTTTAAAGCTGTGGGCTGAAAGATGTGTCCGAGAATGTACTTATTAATAATACACATGTAATACCACGGCTTTATATGTTTGTAATATAATTGTTTATTGCAGACAAAATGTAAACATCCCGATACAAAAGATTCATCGGAAGGTGTAACATCTCGTCGTCTTACAAGATACACATTGAGTGAAAAACTGGATGCGATAGATGAAGTGCACGCTGAAGAATTACATACAGCTGGATATCAGGAATTAAACGCCGCTATAAAAGCACGCGCCTGGATGCGCTTACGTCGAGATGGTGTGCCACGGACCACAGCAACGAAGTACCCCGATTTTGAGACTGCGATAGCCGAGTTACCATCAAATCTGAAGCCAGTGGAGTTGCCTATGCTTATGACTGAAGATGTTCTTGATAATGAATTGGTAAGAAAATACAAATCATTTGTTTTCGTGCGGCTTTGTCTGCATGAAATTCTAATGATTTTTGATTTACACGAAAACTTTGTTTTAAAGTTTCATCATCATCACCAGCTCATTATACGTCCCCACCGAGGGTCTCGAAGCCTACTCTAAATTAGGGGTGTCTAGGCCATAGTTTTATTATTTACATTATGTAAAACTTTCAAATGCCCAAATGACAAATGGTCTTCGCAATTGGCTATTTTTGTCTCTTTCTCGCATAACAATTTTTTTCAATTTACTTACCCTTAAAATTAAATGGCGTGAAAATATATAACCTAAAGCATGTCTTAAGCTTAGGACTTTGTATTACAATAAGTATTATTCAAAAGTATGCCGTGATTATTAATAAAACGCATAAATTATGTAAACAGAAAAACTTCATTTTTAAAACATGGCATCCATTAAGATTTCTTTCTTTTATTTCTAAATATAACTAAAGGCAAATATTATTAGAAGTAATTAGTAACACTAACTATGTTACACAAAGTATAATGCAGTAGAACGCTAACTATAAATAATTTATATTTTAATGTGTGTGTTTTGGTAAGATATTATTAGTCAGTGATAACAATGTCCACGTGGATGTACGGGAGACGATGATACAAGTGAACATAGTAGCTTATCTTTGACCCTCATGACCTCTGCATCTCTTATCAACTATGGACGATGTAATTTAATTTGTAGAAGTTACGGATAGGACATTACTAATGGTGTTAATGAGGTGGACAGAATAATAAATATTTATTTTTAAATTATGTTTGTCAAAAAATATTTTGTAATTGGCTCTTGCCCGCGACTCTCCGCGTGGAATTGAAAACATAATTAGTAGCTTATGTGTTCTTCCCGACTATATTCCGGAGATATCTTGCATTTATAATACACTAGCTGTCGCCCGCGACTCCGTCTACATTGAATTAAAATACAAACTTAAGTAGTCTGTGTGTTCTTCCAGATTATGTATAAATCTATGCCAAATTTCGTCAATATCCGTTCAGTCTTTCCAGAGATACCTTCAAACAAACATCCATCCATCCATTCATCCATCTAAATATTCGTATTTATAATATAAGTAAGAAGTGTCTGGTTGTAACTTATATAATAAACTTATGATGTTATTGCAGAGTTTAGAAGAAGCTATAAATGATGTGGTATTGGATGATGAGGAGGAGGAGGCGGGTGGAGGTGGGGGCGGGCGCGCGCGCACTGCGCAGGCGGGGCTGCGTGCACTGCGCGCGCTGCGCAACGCGACACAGGATCACATAGCTGCGATACTGCGCGCGCAGTCTGATGCACGATCATTGTCAGTATATTATTGTATATTAAAAAAAAAAAAACAAAATAACATACTTGTGATGGTCTATGAAGTTAACCAATTCGTACTGGGTTAGTGTGATTAACTAATCCCTTTTTACGCTAAAGAAACAGAGGATTTAGAATGTCTATGACCTGATGATGACCTTGTAAAGACCTTACAAATAATCTTACTCACTTAAATTTATTTGCGAATGTTTAGATGTATGTTATACTACAAAGTATGTACAGAACGGCTGTATGAATTTCGCTGAAATTTAACATAGATGTAGAACATAGTTTGGAAGAACTCCAGCAGCTATTATACGTCCCCACTGAGGGGCTCGAAGCCTACCGTAAGTTAAGGGTGACTAGGCCATAGTCAACCACGCTGGCCAAGTGCGGGTTGGTTGACTTCACACATATCTTTGAATTTCTTCTCAGATATGTGCAGGTTGCATCACTATGTTTTCCTTCACTGTAAGAACGTCGGATAAATGTACATATGTAAATCGAAAATGGAAAAACACATACATGGCGGGATTCGAAACCAGGACCTGCAGAGTGCAAGTGAAGTGCTTGAAAGCCAGTATATATGTGCAGGACAGCGGTGTGCCGAGTGCTGGGTAGTGCGGGCAGTGCGCACACGCACGCGGGCGTGTCCCGCGAGCTGGCGCTGTCTGAGCGCGACGCCCCGCCCCCCGCCACACACTACCTGCACGCACTGCCACTGGCGCACGCTCCCGATGTTTGTATACTTATTTTGTTAATATTAGCTGTATATAATGTTATTACAAATACGAATAATTCATCTGTTTTATATGAATATTTGTTTGGCTAAATTTTATGTTGCCAAATATATTTTTTATTACCTGTCGTCCGTGACTCTTTGCCGAAGATTACTAGTCTAAGTGTTCTTCCAGACTATATTCTACATCTGTGACAAATTTCAGCTTAATCCGTTATGCCGTTCTGGAGTAACCTAACATCCATACATCCAAATATTTGCATCTTACTAATATTATAAATGCGAATGTTTAGGTGCATGAATGTTTGAAGGTATCTCCAGAACGACTGGACATATCTCGATGACATTTGATATACATATAGAATATAGTCTGGAAGAACACATAGCCTTCTAATTATGTTTTTTTTTAATTCCGCTCGCGGGCGGAGTTGCGGTCGACAGCTAGTTTATAATATTCGTAATATGTAACACGTAGAGTTGTGTTTGTACCAGGAATCAGTAGTACTGGACTTGGTCCGTCTGGGCACGGAGGCGCGGTGCGGGGCGGTGCGCGAGGCGGCGCTGCTGGCGGCGGCGGCGAGCGCGGCACGCCTCGCGAACCACGCCCCCCACCTCTCTCACACTCTCAGAGATGCGCTCTCTAAACATCTCGCACGATGTCTTGTAAGTACATACATTACTAACATGATATTTTAATATTTCCAGCACAGAAAAAAGACGATAATATCATTTTATATTACTTTTGCTAGTTATTTGTTAGAAAAAAAAGAAAAGATACAGTTTTTAACCATCTATTAAGATAAATTACGATCATTGTAATCAAACTTATTAATAACTAGTTGTCGACCACAACTCTGTCTACGCGTAATTAAAAAAAAACTTAATAAGTACTGAGTGTTCTTCCAGACTACGTTCTACACCTGTGCCAAACTTCCTCACGATCCGTTGACCCGTTCTGGAGATACATAATAACAAACATTCATCCATACATCCAAACCTTTGCATTTATCATATGGAAGTCTTAATTCTAGGACGATGAATGTCGTGCACTAGTGGCACGAGCACTCGGCAACCTGCAGCGCGCCGACACAGCTGAGCTACTGCTGGAGCAAGCTGAACGTGGCGGCGCTGCAGCACTGCACGCGCTTCAAGCACTTCAAGCGCTGCCACACGAAGCTATAGGGCCGGCGAGACAACGTCGTCTGGCAGCGCTGGCGGCCAGTATGCGTCCGCTGGAAGTGCGCGCTGCAGCGCTGGATCTCTTCTTAGTGCGTGCGGCACCATTGCCTCCTCCGTTAGTGCTGGCGCGGCTGTCGCACGAGCTGCACGTACACGCGCCTGCAGAGCTGCGCAGACTGTTCTGGCAGCGCGCGCACCAGCTCGCTGAGGAACATAAGCCGCTAGCTGACGTGCTGGCCATGCTGGCCCCGGAACAACGCGGCTGGAATGCTTTGGCGATATCGGGTAAGTTATTACTCTACTTAAATATGTTTGAGAATTTTAGATTTAAATGTCAAAATTAATTAATTTTTATGCTTTTCTATTAATTTTGACAGATCAAGGTCATTGACGTACTTAATATTACCAGTAATATAAATCCAAATGTTTTGAAGGATGGATGTTTGTTAGAAGGTATCTCCAGAACAGCTGTATGGATCTTGCTGAAGAGGTTACTAATTAAGTTGTATTAATATGTTATTTGCAGGTACATCGTCAGCACTGGTGCGGCCATTGGGTATGTTCGGTGTGGGCGGGGGGCGGCTGGAGTCGCTGCAGCTGACGCCGGGCGGAGTGCTGCGTCGCGGTACTGTGCGGCTGAATGTAGACGGCACACCAGCACCACTGCTCGCAGTATGTACACAATTTGTCATCAACATCTACTGTCAAATTGTAACTAACAAAAAACAAAATGCATCGTATTATTTATGTCTAGTAATCTTCCATACAAATTAGCCGCAGCACAATTGTACAAGACTGTATCTATATTCTTAGATCGAGTTATGGACACGTGGGCTTGAGTCGCTGACGGGCGGGGTTAAGAGCTCCGAGGGCGGGGCTGAAGGCGGGGCCGAGGACGAGGAGGAAGACATGAGCGGTGGATTGGCGCTCACTGTGGGCGGGGCCCGACTACCCAGCGTCACACTCTTCGACGGACAGGTAACTTATTATGAAGAAATAAAATTTAGTAGCCTGAGTTCTTTCCTAGTAGTCCTTCCTAGTAATCTTACTCGTATTTTTTTTCACTAGGCGCAGCTGCTGGGTCACGTGTGGGCGGGCACGGGCAGCACGCCGACGCCGGCCCTGCGCGCGCTGCAGCCGCTGGGCACGCGCAGCGCCGCACTGCCGCTGCTGGCCGCCGGCACGCTGCACCTGCACTCTCACTCGGCTGTCGCACTCGCGTTGGACGCACAGGTACTATACAAATGCTCCTTGGTCCTGACTAGTTCACAAGCATAGCATGAAAAGTGAACAGTCTGCGTGTGCGCAAAAAAGATAGTACACTGAAATTACTCATTTACTTTACATTGAACTTCGAAACATTACGCCAATAACCTAATGGTTAAGAGTGCGGGTTTCCGATTACGAAGTCGAGGGTTCGAATCCCGCAATTCGACTATTATCGTAAACCATGTCCTAGCTCAAGCCTAGAGCTTAGTTGGAATGGTACAAGAAAATTTTAGTAAATTAACAAAAATTTTCTAATATTTAAAAAGAAGTTACGAGTTACGATCATATGGTCACATTGAGTAAAGAGTGCTACCATTTATGCCGATATTGATATAATCATGTTTAAATAAAGTCAAATTATACGTTGTAGGCGCAGGTGTCGCTATGGTCGCGTACGGCGCTGTCGGAGCTGGAGCTGCGCGTGGGCGCGGCGAGCGAGGCGCGCGCGTCACTGCACCTAGCGGGCGGGACGCTGCGAGCCCACGCCCAACACGCTGCGGAGCCACGCCTACGCGTCGCCGCACATCTAGACTTCTACGACCGCATGGCGCTCTGTGTCAAAGTCTCCACTGAGGATCACGTGCGCAGGTCAGCAACACGTCATTGTTAACAAATCTTATGTAAAAGCTTCATGAAATTATTCGAAATTCTTTGAAAATACTGACGTTACAATCGAAAATGTTAACTCTTTCAGACAATCTACTAAACTTTCTCAAATAAAGGCTACTATCATAATTTTTTTTATAACAAAATTATTTTAGATCAAACACGACGCTACACTCTGAGCTGGGCAGTACACAACGCAAGGTACGACGTGAACGGCTGCTGGAGGTCCCGCAGCCCGGCCGCACGCTCGCACTAGGACCGCTCAACGACGCCGCCTGCAACACGCTGATCGCATAACGAGCACGCTAACACGCACGTCACGTCACGCAGGCACAATTCTAGTTGTCACGTCACGTGCACATCAAACGCCAAAGCGCTATATACCAAATATTGTGCAACTATTCTCAAATTAACATTCCTATTAACTCGCATTTGAATATTATGTTATTATTCGTGCTTATACTAAGCCAGTACAGTAGCGCTGGCTTGGGCTTACTGCCGCCAGTTTTGAACGCTACTACTACTGTACTGGTAAAATGTAGACATCAGTTTTCGTATATCCGAGTAGCGAATTCTATAATCAATAGAATAACTAATACTAATATACAATAACTGGAAAATGTCTTAATGTAACGTTTTCTTTAATTAGCTTTTAAGTTATTTCAATATTTTGGAATCTCATCCATAATGTCGTTACATTATTCGTTAATAATAAATATAAAATCTATTTTATTGTAACTATAGACTTCATACCATGAAAGTACATTATTATATTTTTGGACTGTGAGATGCAGGAAAAAATGGTGCGGTTTTTAAGCAATATAATAATCTGTTTCCAATGTTTGGTTAACAAAATTATATTAACTTAAGATAATTCTATTAAATTAAGGTAACAGTGTCGCGAATTAAAGCAGCTTTAATTGAAAGGTTTTTATATCTAATGTTAAAATAACTGAAATTATACGGATTTATATTTTATATGAGTTGTGGCATTTATAATAATTTTGTAATAATAAATAATTATTTCTACCTATTGTTTGATTTGGATAATTCATCGTCGCTTCTGATTCCTCCATCTTGCCCTTTTCAATGCAGCAATGAAAAAGAACAATTCCACTTTTTTTTAATTATAGAAATTATAAAGCACAGATTATAAAGTTTTTTTCGTTTAGCATATCAATAATACTCTGGCAACACTAAGTATCAATCATCTGACTTTTACGTTTTACGCATTTGACAGCTGCCCTTGGCAGATTTATCTTATTTACTATTTATTTTTTTGGAAATTGTTTAAGTATACAAAGTCGAATTATGAAACTCGATTCCAACAATAAATTGATCAATAGTGATAATGGCGCTGACGCATCTGAAGAAGTAGTAGATCCGAGACAAAATGCAGAAGATATAATCGACGAGATTCTGGCTGAGTTTACAGAATCTCGAACACCAGAGCTCGTTAGGAACGGGAACAGCATTCCGGACAACCTGTTCAACATGATACAACCGCCAAGGACCAGGACGCCGGCTAATTCCTTCTCTGAAACTGCGACGATCGACGACATCGATCCGGCGTCGGATCTCGGAACATCCATCAGAAACAAATGCTTGGAATTAGAAGAAATCTTACAGAGCCTTAAGTCGCGTCTTAATCATGTGGTTCTAGACGAAAATATTGTTCTCAGCCCCGAAGCTAATTCTATGGAAGCTCAACTCGAGCATGACTTGGACACCGATTGTCAGGAGGATCTATCACTTCAAGAATTCCTTGAGCTTCTACATTCGCAAAATAAGGTAACTTCAAGCGGCGTGCAATGACTATTTACGAATCATTGGCTATAGTTTAAGAATAAATGAATTTACTGTGTGCAAATTTGAGATTATTTTATTTGTAAAAGTAATCAAGTTGTAACTATCTAGATATGCGCATTTTACTGTAGAAAAGTTATTGCATACCAAGAAAATGTTCTTTTAATTGGAATTATTGTTGTCAGATGTGAAATAAAATATAAACTTGATTTATTGTTTTTATTTAATAAACAAGCTATCATTAAATGACAGAAAAATAATATCCATTAATTTAAATCTATATAAATAAAAAATTAAATGACATACAAAAAACTACATATCATTGAAGAAATCATTAACCTCCGTACTGATATCCGTCTCTGTGAAGTTAGGAGCGGTATCCATTTCATAAAATTGACTTTCATCAGCATCATTTGAATCATATTTGCTTAAAATATTCTCATCCTTTATTATATAGTTTAATTGTTTTTGTTTAATTAATTCAATAACATCATCCTTTTTTCTGTTAAGTAATTCGATTTTTAAATTTCTTAACCAATTATTGTAATCTGAAGGATCACCTACAATACTTTCTGTTCTCAGAACCTTCATTGCATCCAATGCTTTTGTACAATGTCCATCCAAATTGCTATGAAACAAGGATTCTATGGCATTTGTCATTTCAGATATTAGATCTTTTTTAGGTTTTCCTAACTCTTTAAGTGCTTTATAATCATTAACAGGATCAACTGTACCAATGCTCTTAATTTTGACTGATTTTGATGAAACAGGCAAATCTACTTTTGGCAAATCGTTAACAATTGACTCATCTGTTTTAAATGACGAAACCATTTCATCATTGTTTGCAACAACTTGCTTATTTCTTTTCTTAACTTCTACTTTCTTAAGTACAAATAATGTTTTTAATTTATCAACAATATCAACAGTATTCTTCTCAATTAATTCAGGTACTTTGAACAACATCATTATATCTTTCCTCGGTGGTGGCAGCGGCTTTCCCGGGTTCATAGCTCTAAAAGCGATGCAATCTAAAACATATTGAATTGAAGGACTTATGGTCTCTGCTATAGGAAATGCTTCATTATCATCATAATCATCATTATATGCATTCGTAAGATCCATGGCTTTGATTAAGTCTTTAAAAGCATCCACTTGTTCCTTGTTACATGTTACTTTTTCAATTTGTGGAAATGCCATATATTTAATTTCTTCTTTAAAACAAATTCCTGCCATAGACAGACAAACATAATCATTAGAGTCTATAACTGGCATAAGTACATACATTCTTGGGGCATTTCCATTGTTGTAAACTCTTCTAACGATGCCAACTAAATTTGATTCCATTAGACATTCTACTAAAATTCTTACAGCTTCTTGAGCTTTTTTATCACCTTTACGTCCAAAAATGTATGACAAACCATCACCATTCAAGTTATGCCATTGGACTCTCTTTGCATCAGTAAATCCGTACACTGTCAGTGATTTTGAACCAGAATTATAGAGTAATGTCTTATCAACATCAAGGAATGGGATGAGTTCCTGACCATAATGGAATCCTTTAATTAATTCAGGCGATTTTATTACATCTTTGTTTTCAGGATTTATGTACCATGTTTTTTTAGATGCTGCCTCTGTGGTACTCGCAGACCCTGTAACTGTGTCGCGAACTGCTTTCGTCCATGATTTTACAACAGATTCATCTTTAATTCTAATATATGATGAAACTGGTATTTTTATATTGGGACCAATGCAGAGGTCAACATTCCATGGCATTGGGTTAATATGCCTTCTTTTATGGAACACTAAATATCTCATTGTATCATCAAATAAAGCGGAAACACCATTTGTACCGTCAACTAATCTCCTAATGTAACCAACATCATCATATTTATATGTGTCTGTATAAATATCATACCCAATCACATCCACTTGGAAATCTTCTTCTTTAAAACCATTTAATACCTGGAACAAAAATCTTACTAATATTATAAATGCAATGGTGGATGGATGGATGTTTTTCTCTAGAATGGCTGTATGGATCATGCTGAAATTTGGCATAGGTGTAGAACATAGTCTAGAAGAACACATAGGTTACTTATTAAGTTTGATTTTTAAATTCTGCGTGGACAGAGATGCGAGTGACAGCTAGTGTTAAATACATTTAAAACCTATAAAAGATGAACAGACAGATCTAAAGGCGACATATACAGTTCAATATTGTATTGTTTACAAGACAAGTTTGGGGTTTATCTGGATAAACAAAGATTAGTTGTTTATAATGTATATATTATTTTAAACAATGTTGTATGAAGTTTTTACTGTATGTGTAGGTGATATGAATAATAATTAAACAAAATCATGCTATAATTAATAATTGTTTATGATTACCCGTTCAAACTGAGATTCATCAAGTTTAGAAGATGACTCAAAGTTTGTCATTAATATGATCCTTCTGTTTTGAGTTTTATATCCACTGAAGCAATTTTTGAAATAATCAGCAGCAACAATTAGTGCATCAAACCAATCACCTTTTGCTGTTGTTGGCTGAAAATTAAACAATAAAATAGAAGAAAATTAAGTATTTTGAAAGTTTTAATCAAATGTTATATTGAAAATATTATTACAGCAGTTGGTAGATCTCGGATCATTTTCCAAGAGGGTGTTTCAAGATCTATGAATAATTCTATTCGTTTAAAATCACCAGGACATTGCTCTGCCAAATTATTTTTAGATTTCTTTGATCCCAATAGGAGTATTCCCAGTAGGTCCTTCCCTTGACTCATTATTTTCCTTTCGATTATACGTTTCGTACAATCTATTGCGTTTTCAAAAAAACTTTTCTCGCTTTTATCATCATTGGATGTATTTTTCCCTATATCCAAAATAATAATTGTAGCTTGATCCACTTTTTGAGCCATATTTACGTATTTATTCAGTTACACTTTCAGTGCAAATCTGATTTTAACGTCACAAACAAAAATAAAACTAAATAATAGAGAAATCGAACTTTATTTAACAACTTTTTGAAGTTTCAACAAGTTTAAACATGAATTATTTTTATTTTTAAAAAGTGTCGGACAGCAAAACATGACCTTGAAAATAAATGTTGCCCGCAAACAGTGAACAAAATATAGATAAAAAATCCTAACTTTTTGAAGTCAATTTTTTTATTAAAATGATATTTCTTTAATCATTTGCTCAATTTTCCATTACCGCGCCTTTATTTAAATTACATTGTTTTATGTACATGTCTTACTACAAACTAAGAAGTTTGTGACTTTTAATTTTCACCAGAACCGACATGTCTGTTGAAATTAATAAAAATATAAGAAAATGCAAAATGGAAATAAGAAACGATAAATATCTGAAACCATATTTTATTTCCCAGTAAAATTGTTCTTACAATTAAATATAATGCATATAAAATCAATTCCAAGCATAATATAATGGATTTAATCCTAAAAAAATATAATATTGATAACCTGCTTTTTAAGTCGTTTAAAAATAAATATTACGTCATAATTTGCTTAATGCTTTCACAAATAAGATTTTATAAAATATATTAAAATAATAGTAAAAAAAGATTAGTAAAAATACCTTAAACTTAGATATAAAATTATATGCATACATTTGTGTAAATATAACAAAGCCCTTTGAATTTTTCAAGGTATCAAAAACATGTATATATCCTATAGATTGTTCAAAAAATGTTACATATTATCAAAAAAATCTGTAACTTCAGAACTAATAGCGACATCTATCAGATTACAAGTATCCATCTTACACATTTCATTATCAACTGATTTTAATTCACTCAATTCATTCTCATTATTAAGTATAAAATCCATTTCTTTTTCTTCAATTAATTTTATAATATCATCTTTTTTTCTGTCAATAAGCTCCATTTTAAAACCCTTTAGCCATTTGTTATAAAATATAGGATTGTCTTTAACACTTTCAGCTCTAAAAAACAACATTGCATCTATGGCCTTACATTTGTGTTGATCTGAATTACTGTTAAAAAGAGTTTCTATAGCATTTGACATTTCTTGTGATATTGTATTTAATGGTCTACCTAAACTTAAAAGTAAATTATAGTCATTAATTGGGTTAACAGTTCCAATGCTCTTAGATTCGATGTATTCTATGCTTTCTGTTTTGATATTTTCTACATCATCTGTAACAACCATTGCTTCAGAATTATCTATTTGATTTGCATTAATTTTATTTAAAACAAATAAAGATTTTAATTTTTCAATTAGTTCAGTAACTCTCATTTTAATTAAAGTTGGGACTTGAAATAAATTAATAATATCATCTCTTGGTTTAGGTAATGGCTTATCGGGATTATTTGCACGAAAAACTATAGAATCGTAAGCATATTGTGCATAAGGAGAGGGAACTTTAGAAAATTCAAATGCTTCAGAACCCTCTAACTCATCAGTGTTCAAATTCATTGCTTTTATAAGGTCTTTAAATGCGTCAATTTGTTCTCTTGAACATGTAAACTTTTTACATTCAGTTTGTGGGAATATCATATGTTTAATTTCTTCTTTGTAACAAATACCAACCATAGACAAGCTTTTATTTTCCTTTACTGGCATGAGAGCATACATTCTTGGAGCACAATTCTTTTTTTTTAGACCTCTGGCAATAGCAATCAAATTTCTTGCCATCAAACATTCAGCCAAGCATCTTATTGTGTTACATGCATTTTTATCATCTTTACGTCCAAAAATATATGACAAACTATCATAATTCAGATTTTCCCATTTAAGATTTGATGCAGAAGTAAAGCAATAAATATTTAATGATTTTGATTCTGCTATATAATTAAAATTTACATCAAGCGACAAAAGTGGAATTATTGTCCCACCGTAATGAACACCTTTTACTATATCTTTGTTATTTACAACTTTATTTTCTGCATTAATATAAAGCTTTTTCTTATTTACACGCAGTACAGTACTTGCTCTATTTGTTAATGGATCTCTTATTGCTTCTTTCCATGTCTTGAGGGGTGTTTCTTTTTGTGTTCTAATATATGAGGAAATTGGTATATTTATATTTGGTCCAATACAGAGATCTACTAACCAAGGGTTGCCAGCGACATGTTTTTTCTTATAAAAATTTAACTGTCTCATTGCATCATCAAATAATATATTAACACCATTTGTGTCATTAACAATTATTTTTGCCAAATTTTTATCTGAATCTGTACATGGTTCTTCAAATAAATCACATCCAATGACATCAACTTGAAAATTTTCATTGACAAGTTGATTTTTTATCTGAAAGGAAATTATAGATGTTAAGAAAATTAAAAGTCTTAGAAGATTAAAATTTTCATCTTCTTAATTACCTTTTCCTTTTTATCTTCAGTAATGGATGATGCTGTCATAAAGTTAGTTAGTAAAATAATTCTTTTATTTATGATTTCTGTCTTGCAGTCAATATTTTTAGTCGTGAATAAGTTAACTGCATAAGTTAAGGATTCGAACCAGTCTGCCGTGTTTTCAGTCGGCTGTAATAATAAACAATTAAATCTTTACCAGTTTACTCAAGCTTAACACAGTTTTCTTACGTAAAATAAATGGTTTACCTCACAAGGTAAATTCCGGATCATATTCCATGAAGGAATTTCAAATTTGAAATTCACACAGCTGATACCCGCGTTTTCACATCCCATTAAAAATAATGCAAGGGGTTCCTTATCCAGTGTGATTATTTTACGCTCTATCACACGTGTAATAAATTCTTTGCTCCTCTGAAAGAAGCTTTTATCATTTCCATCTAAAACCAACGTGTTTGGACCAATATCAAAAATTATTACAGTTCCTTGAGTCATCTTTCTTATTGAAAAGGTAAATTCCCAATGCTAACTAATCTAAACACACTATTGTTATTGTAGTTATTGTAGCAGAGTATTAACATAGAAACCTTATATATTAAATGTAAGATTTATTAAGGTTATTACGGAAATAAAGGAATATAAGAATGTAAAACCGAAACATTGTTTATTTATTTTCTTTGAAGTTTGACTTTTGATAACTGATAAACAACAGATTCAACACAAGAATCAAACAGTATTTCAAAGAATCTATAAGAATTCCCTGGTTTTGAAGTATTAATACTCTGTATAAAAATATACAATGGTTTTAATTTTTACTCTGCCCAGCTGCCCAGGCTCAATCTGTCAGCTGTCAGTTTTTTTTTTGAGTAAAATTATTTTATTTATTTGTTGTTATTTACTAATTATGATCTCATAAGAAAATAATTTCAATTGAATCAGAATGAAATAAAAGAAACGATATCATATTAATCTTTTATTAAGTAATCGTTGTTAAGACACGAAATAATGAAGTTTTCATTTCAACATAGAGCATTTTATTGCTATCTTGGAATGAGTATATGGATATTTTTCTTGATAACCGGTGAGTTAAAAATAAAGTACAAATATATATTTATGTCCCAAAAGTCTACGAATATTCTATGGTTTTATTATATTTTACGATACAAGATAGTGAGTCAATAAAAAGTTTTACGCTTAAAATATTTATAACAAAGTAAATTCTTCTTTTTTATTTTAATATTTATTATTATTTTAGTAGTTTACAAGTACATATCAGTAGGGGAAGACACAGCAGCTGTAAAGATAGCACCCCAAGAGTACATATCAAAGAGTGATGCTAAATTTAAAAGGATATTTCTTAAAGCATGTAATCCAGCAGACAGTATAGTACGAGGTTCAGAAGGTAAACCTTGAATACATTTTTTATCTTTTAATAAGCCACAATAAAGACCTGACAGATATTCAGAGCCACCAACTTAGTGAATTCCTGGGTAAGTGTATCAGGTGGATGAAATATTGTTAACTAGTTGTCGACCACAACTCCGTCTGCGCAGAATTAAAGAAAAAGTATTCTTCTAGACTATGTTATACACTTTTCCAAATTACAGCAAGATCTATGCAGCTGTTCTGCAGATACCTTCAAACAAACATCCATCCATCCATCTAAACATTCACATTTATAATATTAGTATGATAAGTATGATTGTGCCTTCATATTATTAGTATTTTTTTCAGGTGTTGTAGACAGTGAGACATGGTTACTGCAAGGTATATTAGTTCTGACAAGGCACGGAGACAGAGGCCCCCTAACACATCTTAAGGGTGGTGACAAGCTGCCTTGTGATACTCTACCAGTTTCAACACTTCTCAAAAGGTATAGAATGTTATATGAAAATTGCCTCATAAACTGATCCATGTAATAGAGTTGCTTCTCTTCAGCAAAATGTTTATTGGTAACTTTTGTATGTAGACATCTCTAACTACTATTTCTTTACTATGTACAAAATTACTAGTGTTTTCATGAAACCTACAGTTGGGAATGTCTAGGGGCAGTGGTCACTTCACTATCTATGCAATTTCAAGTGACTTGTTGCTTGTACTTTATGTGTGGTTTACATTATTCCAGTGTTGATCAAAATCAGTGCTGGCATACAACTGGTGTAATGTAAACATTTACTGGCGCCAGTGATTCCAGGCTATCGCTATTGTCCTACTGTACTGGCATAATGTAAACCTGTCATTAAGAATAAAACTCAAGATGCTAAAAAGTCTTAAACTATTATAGTTATGAGGAGTTTGTGTCTAACGCGAGTGTGGGTGGTCGCGCGTGGTGGGTGTCTGGCCCTGGACCTTTCCATAATTTCCCCTCGCTGCCGCCGCGCGCCGCCGCCACACGCTGCGCCCTTGGTCAGCTGACTCCCAGTGGATTGTTGCAGATGCTCACCGTTGGTCAGTATAAACAATATTAATGTGTTAGGAAAATCTAAATATTCATTCATAAAATTTATTCATTAGAAAGGGTGTTTTTATGCGTAACTAGGTTTTGTCCGCGATTTTGTTTGCGCAGAATTAAATAAAGCATAAAAGCTTGTTAAGTAGCCTTTGTGTTCTTCCAGACTATTATACATCTATACCAAATTTTATCCAAATCAATGCAGCCTTTCTGGAGATACTTTCTACAAATAACCAATCATCTATACTATCTTTTGGCATTTATAATTAGTAAGATGATCATTGTTCTAACAGGTAATATCTTACGAGAGGCATATGGAGATAAATTAGGTCCTGATATGGAGTTAACTGGCAAAAAGGAAACAGGTAAGTGTGTATTCTGAATTATAACTAAAGACTAAAGCATTAGCAGGGACAACAAACCAATGGAACATGACACAAAATTTGTTATCCACTAGAAAAAAAAATGTGAAATAGGTATTATGTGAGGAGCGAAAGCGGGTTATTCCTCATTAAACTTTTCTTTAGAAATATGACACATTGCTACATAGGGGGCAACCGTAAATTACGTGAGATGTTTAAGGGGGGAGGGCGTCCAGTCAAATCTCATCTAATTTTACGTTTGAGTCTCGGCAAATATCACGCAATTTTATTTTCGGATTGAAACAAAACAAAAATTATACTATTTTGGTCAATATAATAGTTTAATACGTAAGAAACATTGTGAAAAATCTCACGTGAGAATGGCGGAGGGGGTTGAATAAAATCTCACGAAATCTCACCAGGGGGGGAGGCAGAAAATTAAAAAAAATAGCTCACGTAATTTATGGACGCCCCTTAAAGGTTTACCATCCCTGACTTGTCTTGTCACGTACATTATTATGTGATAGGTATTGTATTTCATTTGTTTATTTATCAATTGTAATCATACATAGGTCTTATATACAAAAAATCTCTTCTTAGTCTTATATAATAGGTTGACGATTGCTTTATAAAATTTGAAAATGAATCATATAAATTTAATGTAAGAACTATAATAAAAACAGTAAACATTTGAACCAACAATCTAATGACTATGGGTATGGTCATCATTGTCATCATATGGTTTGGGTTTGAATTCCAATTGTCTATTGTCTATAACCATAGAGCACAATCATACAGCATTTTAATCTCTTAAAAAATAAATTTTTGAGTTACGGCAATTTGTGTATGAGCCAATTAGTTAATATTCAATAACTTCAGGTGTGGCATACACAACGCGATACAGACGTACATTCCAGTCGCTCCAGGCTTTAGCTTGGGCCAGCTCCGGTAACGCGGCGGCGGCGCGCGAGGCGCACAGTGTCGCTTTCTGCTTTAGAGACTGCGCGTGCGCAGCTCAGCATGTCTTAGCCAGGTACCACAAGCACAATAACACAATAATACATCTGTGTAAATCTAAAAAACAAGCAATATTATGGCAATTCATCCTCTTTGGTGTGATTTTCTTTTTTTAGCCGACTTCAAAAAGAAAAGTTGTTAATTTTTCGTTTATTTTTTATCTTAGTTGTAGCTTTGTTATAAAAGTTGAAAGGCGTAATTTAATTAACGTAATAGGCAATATTTTGAAGTAATGCATTTCTCTCAACAGGAAAATAAATACTCAGTTAAAAACAAGATTAGAATCTCGACCAGCGATAAAAGATCTGATTATAAAATTATCTAAAGTACTGTTTGAATCACAAGAACACATAGATGCGGATGTTGTTAAAGATGCATTGCTCGCATACGTGTGTCACGAAGCTCCTTTACCTTGTGTAGAGAAAGCAAAGAAATCATCAAAAGACAAAATTGTTATGAGAAAAAAACAAAGAAATTATCGTGAAAATCTTTCTTCTAGAAATTTATTAGAAGTTGATATAGATACGCTGAATATGGAATTGGATTATATTAACAATCAATTAGATTTTAACAATGAAGTTGGAAGAAAAGCAAGAGATATAATTGGTAAATATTATGACAGTAAAGATAAAAAAGCTCCATTAGATTTTGATGCTCAAATGGAAAGAGAAAAACTACTTTATTACCAACAAAGATATTTAGACAATGTTGATGGTTACGAAGATGTTGTAATAGTTAAAAAGAATTTGGATGCAGATTTCAATTTTCCAAACGACGCAAGAATGGATACGGATTTCGACGAAGACTATAAGGAACCAACGCCGGAGAATACTGAAGACTTTTGCATCCAAAAGGAACATGTAATGTCACTTTTCTCGTATCTAGAATGGAGTTATAAACAAGATATGAAGAATTTACATAACAGAAGACGAGGTTTACTTCACGCGTATGGTTTGATACATAACATAGTACAAAATATGATTCGTATGATATCAGAAAATAAACCGAAATATATTCTTTATTCGGGACATGATAAGACATTGCAAGCTTTAATACTAGCATTAGGTTTGAATAGCTACCAACATTACAACATACAATACGCTTCTAGAATGATCTTTGAAGTATACAGAAAGAAGGATTTACGCGATGAATTTAAATTCACTAAAAGAAAAGCGATCGCTCAAGATTTTTATTTCCGTATGGTTTATAATGGAGAGGATGTAACGAATAAATTAATTTTTTGTAGGAATAAGCAAAATATTGTTATGAAAGTTGTTGACCCAGTAGATAATGTCAAAATATATAATACGTATCTTTGTCCAATAGAAAATATTGTTCGTTTTATTCATGATGATTATTTTGCCAGTTTTAATGCTAGTAATTTTAAAGATGCGTGCTCGATATATGGAACTGGTAAACACGTGATTTAAAATAAAGATGGCCGCTATGCCATAGATTAAAAATTGTAATTACAAAATGTTGCCATAAAAATTAATTTCTCGTTAATCGCACAATCAGTAAACATACGTTCCTTTAAGAGATATCTTCAATTAGTCTTAGTAGATCTCAGTTTATTATATTTTGTGATATTTTATCTCTCATTATTCCACTTTCGAGGTACTTACATATTATAATTGCTTATGGTTAGTTTGAAATAATTTATTGTGATATTTTTAACCTAGCTTCGCTAGTCGTTTGCCATGGATATTAAAAAAAACTAACTTAAACGCAGCGAAGTTATGGAATTTCGTTATGTTTTTAAATTTACTTTTTAATTTTTAAATCATCACAATTTTTTTTAATGGTTTGACAGTACGTACATATCAGCCAGGATTAACTTTTATAATTTTATTTACATTTTACTTAGCTTTTAAAGATATTATTAACTTTTTGATTGATTATTTACTATTAATATTTTACGACATATCAATTTAGTTTTAAATTTAATGTATATTTTCCCCACCGTTTTATTGGAGTACAAAGATAAGTGCATTTAATATTGTATGATGTTCACTTGCGTTTTACCGTGGGTTTCCATTGTTGAAACACTAGTATAAAACATTTTTGTCCCTTTAATTCTTTTTTAAGATAACCTTCCGTATAACTTGTAATAATACAATTATTTTACCAATGGAATTTTACGGTTAGAATTAAAGACTAAGGATTGGCGTCTAATTGGTAATATTCAAGGAAAATCTTTGTAAGAGAAACATAACATCACAATTTTTATCACATTTATTAGTCATCATCATCAGCTCATAAGTCCCCACTGAGGGGCTCGAAGCCTACCCTAAGTCACGGGTGACTAGGACATAGTCAACCACGCTGGCCAAGTGCGAGTTGGTTGACTTCACACATATCTTTGAATTTATTCTCAGATATGTGCAGGTTGCATCACGATGTTTTCCTTCACCGTAAGAACGTCGGTTAATTGTACATATGTAAATCGGAAATGGAAAAACACATTGGTACATGGCGGGATTCGAACCCAGAAACTGCAGATTGCAAGTCAAGTGCTTGACACCGGAGCCACCGACACTCTTCATATTTTACATATATTTTATTAGTGTTTAATTTTATTTATAATATTTCCATCGCTTTATTTGTGATATAATCAATTAAGATTTTTTTATGTACTTAAATTTCGAGTACTTAATGAGCTGTTAAATCTTAATTTATATTTTATTTATTCTGATTTCTAGATAAAAAATCGTGACGGCTGAAATCAATGGGATATTGATGTTTCTATGTAATTTTTAATTTGAATAATATTATACTTTGGAGATAATTCGCATGTTCATGTCTGACTCGAAGGACCATCCTTAAGTTTTAACCACAGTTTAATGTTAGACGGTCAAAATGGTCTTATTTTGAGTTTTTAAAATACTGGTGAATCTCAATAAAAATTGTATAGGTAGATAGGAAATTATTAGTATTTTCTTTTTTTAATTGACTTATCTAGTTTTTTTTTTATTTTTATTATATTTTAATTATTTGTTTTATTGGATTTGATATGACAATAATTTAAAATTTTAAGAGTGCATAAAATAATGTTGTTATTTATGTAAAATGTAAGACTGCTATTAATTTAATTATATTTAATTTATAATTTTTGTTTTTAATGTTTGTATTACTTATGTAGAAGATGAATTTAACATATCCTTGTAAGAAATAATAAAATTGGTTGATCGAAATTGTCGTTATTATTGACTTAATCTTTGATGTCCACTCTGAAAAGCTTGCTCTCTTCTAATGTCTAGATATCAAATTATATCTAAATCGAAGGACCAAATAATTAGTTCGCAACTGTAAGTATCTGTTCAATAAGAGGCCAATAATACAAACAAAAACTTAGGTAAAATATCTATCTATCTATAGTTGTTTCAAGTAATTGAGGATATGTAAATTCTAACCTCAAATTCAGATTCTTATTTTATAATGCGTACGAGTGTTCGCGTATCGAATTGGTTGTGACCTTGACAATGACCGGCTTGCACAAATTGAATTTGGAATTAGCAACGCATAGCTAATTCTTCATGCTTTCAACTATGCCCATATTATTTTTCACAAGTCTGCCATAAAAAAAAATGTTTATGAAAGGTAAAAATCTTAGCCGTTAATTTAAACAGTTACATTTGCATAAAACATATTGTCTCGTTTTTCCAAAAAGACAAGGATTGCAATATTGGTGTTTACAGTAATAAAATCACACCGTTACATAACACGATAATAGTCGACAAATCATAGAAATTGCGGTATTTCCCGTATTTAATTTTTTTATCAAAGTAAAGGCAAAATTAGGAGTTTATAATTTTTTATTTTTTTAAAGTACCACAAGGGATCGAAGTTTTTTTATTGAATTTCCGCAATATTCTTGAGCAATCCATTGAATATCTTCTAGGAACTAATATTCATTATGATAGAAAGACAATATTGTTCTTTGTTTACGATTTGAGCACGTAAATCGTAGATGTTTTCAAATTCAAATACATAGTTACATCACGCCACTCTGTTTGTCTCTTTCTTACTGTATATCCCGTCTCTTTCATATACATCGCCATGTTTATTTCCTTTTCAATTCATCGGTACTAAATCGATTTTTGTTTGTTTTAGTGTTAGAAAGTTACATTTTCTAACAGAATGTTTTTATTAACTTATTTTCATGTAAACACAGTTTGTCTTTCCAAATTATAACGAAAATGTGCGTCGACGCCACATAAGTTGTATAAGGCCTGAAAGAGTTTATTTAAATAATATGTCTGTTTATGCTATAAATTAAATAATTTAGTATATTTAAATATATCAAGTATCAACTTACATCAATCTACAATGCATTCTGAGTCAACTGGCAGAATTGTCTAGGAACGTAACGTCTTTAATACGTATGATTTAAAAACATGTTTGTCACTGGAGGTGTGTCGACTGCGTAGCGGCACGCCGCCACTGACTCACATTTGTTATTTAATGTAAACACTTCAAGGTTGTATAATTGTCTATGGTTTTCATTCTAATGTTATTACAAAATGTATTTAATCGTGTTTTCCTCTCTCGTGACAGCAAACCTATCACGAATATTTGTGCAGTTAAACAATCTTCGTACGTTATTTGTTTTTAATTTGAATGAAATGGTTGGCTCAGAATTCGCTAATATTTTGAAGAAGGCATCACACATTTCTTCTTAGATCTAATCTCACTCATCACTATAGGCATAGAAATCTTGAAATTATGTTTTCTTTTAAATAATTTATGTAAAACATGGTGTAGTGTTGCTATGCTAAAATTATAATCTCTAAATAATAAATATACACATTAAAATTCAAATAAATTCTATCCCATTCAAAGAACTTAATAAAAATTCATCATTTGGTTACGCAGACGTGTTGAATGCAAAATGAAATGCACATTTTGTTATTCTATCTGCGTTTATAATTTGTTGCTTTGCTTCTTGGAAGCATTTTAAATGTTCGCACTTGAAAACTAAATAAAATTATTGTTTGTTTTATTTATATTCTGCTATTTCAAGATTATCTGGAAATCATATATCAGCCAGTTTACAGTTTAAAAAAAAAATTAATTTAATAAGTAGTTCTTCCAAACTATATTCTACATCTATGCCCAATTTCAGCAGGATCCGTACAACCGTTCTGGAGATACTTTGAAACAAACATCCATCCATCCATCCACACATTTATTATGTTAGTAAGATAGACCAGATTATGGTTAGAAGGGTCTGATTTAGAGTTTGTTTAATTTCATATGCTTATTTAGTAGGTCTACTAATTATTTACTGCTTATTCAATACACTACCATCTATATTTTAATCCCTCGCGGACGCAGTTGTGGGCGACGGCTATAGTTTGTTTATGTTAAAACATAAAATTTTTATTAATACTTACGTAGTTTAAAACCAGATAAAAACATATAAAAAACTAAAAATGTTAATCACGATACTTTAAACTAGAACAGGTGAAATGATATATTTTCACCTGCCACTTTATATTTTTTACCCTTCTTACCCTTGTTAAATAATTTTAGTTTGTGAAGGTAAAATTACCCGATTAATTTGTATATTGTATAAATCTACACTAAGCGTCGTCCTTAGTGGCCATTAAAATACTTTGAATGAGGCAGAAAGCAACATTAACAAATGTTATAACAAGATTTGTATTATAGTCTGTGTTTGTGTTACTATAGTGATATCAGTTTCAAGGTCGCATATTTTGAGAGTTAAGCGTCATACACACTATGCTATTAATTTATGTACTAGTCTGGTTTCCTCTTTAGAATTTTTATTAGTAGAGTAATTAACTAATTATAGACCAATGTCGTAAATAACAGTGGTAAAGCCAGCATTAACATCTTCGCACGAATTGGACCGGCTCGCCCGGTGAAATACCGCGACCACACAGAAGACAGGCGTGAAATGGAAGCGATTCCGCGTTTCGTCTGATGAGTGTGCGTCCCGGAGTCTTAGTCCCCTTCCCACCCTTTTCTTTGTAAAGAAGGGATGGGAAGTGGAAGTGGACTTTCCGGATGAGATGCATGGAAAGGGAAAATATTTCTTTCTATCTCCTCCGACGATTAAAGGTAGGCAACGCATATGCAATTGCGTATGTCTATGGGCATCCGTCACTTCGCTATATCAGCGATTTTAGGTGACCGCTCACTCGTTTGCCACCTTATGATATAAAAAAAAATAATAATAATATTTAACATACTCGTAGGTAAGAAGAAAATCGGACACTGCCGGTATACTGGCGCCACACTTACTAAAATGTCGTTTATGTCCCCGCACTAATCATTGACACTTGACTTTGATTCTAACTAATATAATACTACTGTATCAAAATTTTGAAACAAAAATAAAAGCCAACTCACGACGCAACTTCCCTGCGGACGAAGTCGCGGGTGATAGCTAGTCATAATGTCAAGTGATGTTTTAATAAAGGAAGTAGACATGGCCTTGTTTTGATGATGTCACTACCGGACTGCCCGGCGCCAAACTTTGCCCTACATTTACAGAATAACACGTCTGTTAAACAATTTCAAACCAAAGGATTTGGAACTGCAAAACTCCATCCATTTAACTAGTGGATTCTCTCATTCTCTCTATCTGTACTTCGCTTCTTTATTATTGACTCAGAAAGATTGAGGGGCTAGACCTCTTAGCACCTAGATACATTATCTGTCTCATTCAGAGTAAGGTACCCTAAGTGTAGTTTTAGCATTATAAATCGTCACTAAAGATCTACATTAGTGATTAATTAACAAGAATAATTTCTTTAACAATTGCACTTAATCAGCAAACAAACTTTTTCTTATCTGAAAATTGTGGATTTTGTTTAAAAATTGTAAATAAAAGATTATTGTTGTTTTTTTCAAAACAACTCTTAACGCGAAACTACGCAGTTCATTGTAGAAAACAAAACAACACAAAGTTATATAATTTTGCGAAACGTGCGATATGTAAGTCACAAGCCTAGAGCGAATTTTATTGCGCGGCGGAATATGATATGAGAATTAATAAATTCGTTTGCAAATCTGAATATTTCAATTAACGTATTAAGGTTAGGTCTATGATTAATAGGAAAATAAGCATTTTAATACTTATTATTATAATATTTTTCTACTGAAAAGAACTTTAAAAGTAATTTGAATCGGCTTGTAAATTTTATCAAGCTTAATCACCATAAAATATAATAGGATACTGAAAAAGGTCGTCGCCGTGGGACGTGACGTTAAAGGGTTTTTTTTGTCTGTGCGGTCGGAGTCGCAGGTAAAAGTTAGTATTTTAATAAAAGTGTAAACTTCGAAATTTCATTACAGTCGCTGAAGTTTCTATTTTATCCACATTACCGTTAATTTGGTGACATTGTAACATTCGCTTCGTTTATTACCTTGGGACATAGACTCGATAACAAAAACACGTGAGTTTAAACTAAGATAAGAGAATAAAAAACGCATGATCCGCGACACGTAGGCTAATTCTAATCGTGTATTTTACACAGAAGTGTTTGCTAAAACGTTTTTGTTTACTTGAAAGATTGACATATTTTAAAATTAAAATACCTTGACGATATTCTGACAATGATTTACTGTTTCTTGTGAGTTATTTTACCGGGTTACTGGCAAAAATATATTCTATTTCTGATAGATTTAAAGTTCATAATCATAGACGCTAACATAGTTAGTAGAAAAAAGTAGGATTTACTAGACCGACTTTTTACACCGTCGTTATATCGTACTTGCAGTTCAGTTCTGTTTATTATTTTGTTATATGTACACAACTTTTGTACACTGGAGACCAAGGAAACAAGCTATTTTAACTACAAGTAATAAATTTAAAAGAAATGCAGTTAAATCTGTACTGAGTGTGTGGTAACATGCATTGTCGAATGTCTTCTATTTACAATACATTTAGAACGTTCCGTTGGTCAAGTAAATTATAAGAAATCAAAATATTGAACGTAACAATACAAATAATAAAACATGAGATAGACATTTTATTAATGTTATAAATGCAAATGTTTAGATGGATGGATGTTTTTGAAGGTCTTAAAGAACACATAGGACATTTATTCAGTTATTTTTTTAATTCCACGCGGACTGTGTTGCGGGATTCAGCTCGTAATGTAATAAAAATAAGAAAGAAATGATAAATACAAGCGAAGTCACAACACTGCACACCGCGGATTGAATGTAAACTATGCTATGACGTCTATCATTTGAATAATGAATATTTTGTCGCGCAAAGATCAAGGCTACGTGGAAAAAGTCAAGATAAATCCATTATTTAAATTATAAGCGGAGGTTTTAACTGGCGAAACACATGGAAATAGAGACAACAATATATTTTATATAGTTTTTTCAACAATGGCAACTCATAGTAACGTCTTACAATTTAGCTTACTTGATTTTGTTCATGTCAAACATAACCTCAAATGTACTTATTACCGTTGACATTGGTAAAAATATTTGAGGTTATGTTCAAGTCGAAAAATTAAACACATGTTGTAATGACCAATAAATTCAAACCTAACACAACAAAAAGGTAATAAAAACCAAAACAAACTTAAACATTGATAAGAAAAGATAACGGTTACTGGGTTAAACTAGGATATTTAATGAATGATAACTTTTATGAGCGTTTAATTAATTTATCATTTGTGACAACAAGATAACGTTTTTTTTATATTTACAAATGGCTAAATTTAAAACATTTTTTAAAACAATTTTTTTATACGATATTCTATATTTCTTTTTGCAAGTTTAACCGTTGGTTTCTGAGACAAAATTCCTAAATGAAACAATGCTATCTCGATATGTTATAACGATATGTTTATACAGGGATTTTAGTCTTAAACCTAATTAGTAGTCTATGAGTTCTTCCTGACTATGTTCTACATCTATGCCAAATTTCAGCGAGATCCATGCAGGCGTTCTGGAGATACCTTCAAACAAACATCCATCCATCTAAAAATTTGCAATTATAATATTAGTAAGATTTAGTGAACGTGTTATGCTGTTTTGTACAATACCAGCTTCGATTCCTCAAGGACAAATGTAAGTCTTTGGTCCTGTACCGATAATATCGATGTTGAAGAACTGAATCATTATGTAGGTAATTAGGTCAAAAGACATGAAGGTAAGAATAGACGAACCGAGTAAAAGGTATATGAGCTAATACTTGGCTGTACCCAAGTAAACAGAGTCGTAATACACCATAATGATTTATTCAAACACATGACCACTTCCGGATTTGCACTGGCTCGATAATAAACAGTCTATGACAAACAAGCCATATTATAAAATGTTCCTATCAACTCTGGCCGATTCAAACTTACAAAAAAATACTACGCACTAGTCGCGATGCGCGTGTGTGGGTGAGTAATAATAAGATAACATTCCACTTCGTGTGCTTTTGTCAAAGATTAGCGATGTGTTAGACAAGAGCTATTAAATTTTTTTTTATATTAGGATTTATCCCTTAACATTCCAACAAGCTCAAACCTAAAAAACATGTATTTGGTTCACGATAAAACTCGAATGGAGGGATTCGAACCTGCGACCACATGATCAGATGCCTTTATCTTTAACCATTAGGTTTTTCTTGCTGAAATTAAATACTAGAAGCAATAAAATTATATTATGAATTTACTTTATGTATATTAAATTTTTTGAGACTAGAATTTATATTAATAAAGCAATGGTATGTTTTAGAAAAATTTATATCAATCATACATAGAAAAATGGTCGAGGTGAAAAGATCTAGCCTAATTAAAACCTGTAATCTCTGCCTACATCTCCGTCTGTGATTGTTTCGACTCCTAAAATCTTCGACAACTTAGGTATCAAAAAGATTAATCGGCGATAGTCTGATCTTTGATTGTTTTGATGTGTCCTTTCGTATGTGTGTGTGTTATGTTTACATCGTGCGACGTTTGTGTGCGCAGTAAGCGGGTGTCGTATTTATTTTAGGCGCCGGTTCAACTCGGCTCAGTCCAGGCTCTGTTCGTACGTGTTGCTAGTCGTGTTTATGATTGAAATTTAATATTTTAATAAATAAACTAAATTGAAAATGTCGGCTTCACCGATCGCAAGACAGGCTACTCACAGCCAAGCGATTCCGTCAAGAAAAGTTTTAATTACCGATCCATCGCAGATGCCTGATGTTTACTCAAGTACGCCCGGAGGAACTATCTACTCTACAACTCCTGGAGGTAAATAAAAGTTTTAAGTTAAATAATAACCAGTTAAAAATACCATTTATCTTAATAGCATGTTTATAAAGACGTAATATTTTGACTACGTTTTACTTACATAACTAGCCGTTCATGGGCATAATGTATCTAATCTAGGTTAAGTATTGTTAGCAATTACATTAGTTCAGTAACCTGTATTTTAAAGCGGTTAAAACCGGTTCGAATTAATGTGGGACATAAGGAAAGACGTGATCACAAAATTAGACAACACGCTGTTTCTTTTTCGCATTGGAATGACCTTGACTTTATATTACAAGTCGTGATGTCGCTTTAGTGATATAAACACGTCCTCTTATCGTAAACTCTATTATTTAATAAACACGTGTTCCAATGTTTTTAAAAGTAAATTTAAGATTTAATTTCGTAGATCAATTTGTACCAAAACTTATGAAGGCGTAGTTTAATACGAACGCGCAAAAGCGCTGCGTATTTAAACCTACTAACTAATACACCCCTTTTCATCCTCATTTCTACGTAGTAAAATCTTACCTTATACAAGTGACCACGTGGTTACAACTCAAATAATTTCCAATTCAAGATTTTTACGAAGATTCTTTCAAGCGCCTTTATTAAGTAGTACGTCCATTGACTGGCGCCCACACCTCTTGCACCCGCGACTAAAGACGGTGTTTGGTTTTTTATTTATTGTAATTTAACCCGGTAATAAAACTTAAAATATCGAGCCACGTGATTATATTTTAGTTAGTATTTCAAAAAACGTTTTGTACTACTCGTCGATTTGTTCCAAATAGGTCAAGGCCACGCCATGATAGTAGCCAAGAACACGTGTGCACAGATAAACATAAATAAACTTATATAAATAAATCAAGACATCGTACAGGCGAGCCATTACCCAGTTTATGTACACAAATTACATACTAAAATGTTTGTTTATCAATTAAAGATTTTACCTACAGAAATTACCGTTATTCAGTAAACAATCCGACATTAGTAAAATTTGATTTGAACATAAAGTAAAATTCTATTTTAAAAAACAATTTTAACGTGAACTGTATATTTTGTGAATTTGCGTTTCTTTTCCGTGCAGCCGGATTAATAAAATTTAAGGGTGCTTAAGGTGCACGGGCGCTTTTTTTCGGAAAACGTTTTTTATCTATGAATAGTTTTATGCCAGTTTGACGTCTAATCGAGAGGCGATTTTCGTAATGTCACCACATTACAAATGACCATAAAGAAGGGAATTTATCCAAACAAGAGACAAGAGACATTTTTTGTGCTTCGTATGAGGTGCCTAGAAACTATAACTATTACTTTTACTTAAGATCAAGTTTCTTGTTAAAGCTCTGATTTCTTGGAATCAAAGGGAATTTACTGATTAGATACTGCAAGCGTTCTAATGCTGATGTTTCGAGAAATTTTGCAACATGTTTGCAATACTACTTTTTGACAACAAAACATGCAATTAAATGTAAATAATAGTACCTACTTGGCTGTCGAGAATTCATTTCTGGTTTTGTAATAGTTTGCTCATTTTAACATTGTCGTAATGTCTATATTTTTCTAGATACGTAATCGGTGATAATCTCAAAACAAATGACCTTAAGTGTTAAAGTGTTATTCTGATAAAAGATATGTGATAAGTAAGATATTGAGATACAGATGATAAGTAATTTAGGGTGCATTCGCACTAACAAAACTAAATAAATCCTCCTATATTATTTTCAATTATTATTGTCTGCGACTAAGTGCAGGTTTTACCCTAAAAAACGAAGTTAATTTAAATTATCCACGTGAATCGGATTCAATTTTATTGAGAATTAAAAAAAATTAAAACTAAATTTGGCTGACCTTAAAAAATGTCTTTTTCCTTGTACTAAAAATAATAATTTTGTTTGTTTATCATGCTTATCATTATTTACAAATTGATGGATGTTAAGATTACGATAATGTCAACAGAATTATCGTTATTACATTTCGCAACTGCGGGCAAAGTGAATTAAATCCATTGTAAAACTACCTACAGCGCCATCTATTAAGGAGTAGCGAAAACAGCAGCAAGTTATTTTTATAGATTTGCTTATCAGCAAAAATAATTACGTAAAATATTATGAAAAACTTGATGAGTTATATTATATTCTATAATACAATTAGATACCATATTTAGACGACAACTAGAGTTAGTGCCTACAAGCTCATCGTCATATCCCAAAATTCATCTTTTACTAATAAATTGTACATAATTTAATTATACCACGAGCCAGAACATGACTATCATAATTTCTTTTTAATAAACACTTTCTATCTATTTCAGGTACCAGGATAGTCTATGAAAGATCATTTCTGATGTCACTTAGACAGTCTCCGATCTCACAAACTCCGCCCAAGTGCAATTTGCCAGCGGCTTTACTCAGGAACCCTGGGTCTTCACCGAACACACCAACCACACCGGCACAGAAACCACGGTCTAATTCCATATCCTTCGATGAATCGCAGGAGACATTCAGTATGGATCTCTAATAGCTTTAATTATTTCGTATTTTGTAAAAATTCTTCATATTGTCTGCTAAATATTATCAATGCAACTTTGCAGACAATTTTTTTAAATATAAGTTTGTTTAAATTTTTGTAATTTTTATTATGAATTTATGTTATATTTCCTTATTAATAGTCATGAAATAACATCAATGTCCTATAAATCCTTTTCACTCAAAACAATTATAATATTTTTCGTTCATTTTATTTATGAACATTTATATAAATTGTTTAAAATAAATCAGATATATTCTATGTATAACATGACTGCTTTATTACAGTTAATTAATGCAATTGTTTTTATGCTTAAGCATTTTTATATTTAGATGCTAGTCTATAAAATGTGACTGAATTGTATTTTGCGTTCGAAACGCATATCCGTACCACAGACAATAACTTATTTTTTTTTGTTATTAAACCTCTCGAATGGATAAATTAAAATTAAACATAAGTTACTAAACAGTTAAATTTTTAAATTAGAAGAATCGAAAAAAGAAGTCATCTTTTTTGACGTTTCTGAGAGGTTTCTTTTTCAATTCATAGATGGCGCTGTTCAGACTTTTTACTTTAAGCGTCAAAATGCTGCTCGCAAATGACTCTTTGTGTTAAAAATATTGTTATTCAATGTGAATACGGATACAGTTCTGTTAACTTAAGATTAAGTCATGCGTTTGACGCACAATTAATATCTTAGGGGTGGTCTAAGTTTTTTCTTTTGTAAGCAAGTAAGTAAAGAAGTTTTGTAGCAATGAAGTCATATTTGTATTAAATAATTTTCTTCATGTCATTATCTTGCGATATTTTAGTAATCTCATCACGTGAGATTTAAACTTTTGATTTAAAAAATGTATTGGTCACATATTTTTTATTGTTGCGGCAACACCGACGACTGTTTTTTTTTTAATAACGTTGATTTCTGCCATTTGTTAATATGCTATATTTTATAAGAGCTTATGAAATGTATGATATTGTACGAGTTAAATACGTCTATACTGTAAGATCAAACAGGCATGGAGACTTACAATATTTATGACAAACTGTACGCGTAGTTTTCATCTAAATAGTAAAAAAAAGTATATAAGTCGTACTTTTAAATGTTTTCATATCAATTTAAAAAAATAGAGTAAAAAAAATCAAATGCCTCATTAATTATTCCTGTATTTTTAATTCAGATGAATTGTGGCTGTATTAACTTAAAACCTTTGCCTTTTTTAACGTAAAAGAATTTTAAAATTAAAAATGATAAAATTAATATGAATTTTATCAAAACCTTAAGTAATATTTATTTTTGTACGCTGTTTAATCGATTTTTCAAAACTTTAAATATTTACGCTATCTTTATCGTTATGTTTGAATGAAAGCAAAATTACGGATATAAAAATAATTTTATTTGTTGTTCCAAAGCATTTATGAATTAAGTACAAGATTAAAATAAATTTTAGTCACATTTTCTCGTCTCTCTTTAGTTTTACTAAGGTAAAATAGGACACCCTCTGTTCAGTAAAACCTACTAAAATATACTACCAAAAATACTACAAACGAATAACCATAACCACAGATAAAAAAGAACTCAATGTTTTAAAAACTCTAGATTTGACTCTATTTTGATTCGATTTGCCCAAATTAATTAGTATATAGTTAATATTTTTAAGAATTATTTGTCGACTGTCTTTAGGCGAATAAATATTTGTAAAAAAAATGATGTTTCAATTTTTATGTATATTTTGGAGTCATGTAAAAATCAGAAAATATTAAGTACTCTTTACACAGGTAAGTGGTTGCAGGACAAAGGTAAGGAATGTTCTGCCAACATAAAAAAAAGAAAAACGAAAGAGACACAATTCAATAGACAATCCAATGCTTTACGAATACAATGAGTATCATTACTCTCATTCAAGATAAGTAGATTCGGAGTCTTCTTATTGGAAAATATTGCTTTCTTTTGTGTGTTTTGATGGATTTTTCTGAGTATTTTGTTTTGCTTTCTTATCGGTATCTGTTTTTCTTGCCTAACAAATTCGGTTTAAACCAACAGACTTTGTAAAAAAAGTATGAATTTAACGTTGGATGTTTGTAAGGTATCTCCAGAATGGTTGAACGGATCTCAATGAAATTTAGCATACCTACATAAGTCTGGAAGAACACGGCAACTAATAATATATTTTTTTAATTCCGCACGGACGATGGCTTGTATTGTATAAAATAAATTTCTAAAAGTAAAAAAAATATTTCCTATGTCTGTAAATCGTCTATAAATTAATCTAATCATAAATAGACCTCAAAATTATTAGCTGCTGTATTGTTTGTATGGACGTATTAATTATACGTAAATTAATTGCGATAAAATTGTATGACGCTTTTCATTTGTTTTAAAAACATTACTTAAATAAAGAGGTTGCAATGCATAAATTGTAGCACCCTTATCATTTGCGTTACTCTCAAGGGAACGAATTTACGTATACTAACGGGGTTCAATGAACTCTTACATCGGTATTTCACCAATCTATCACTATAGAATCGATTTAAACAATTCAAAACCTTAAAACTATTATTACAGGATCGAAATTGGCGAGTACAGCGATTTTTTCAACCCTCTGCTCACCCTCTCCCCACGTATGACGTTATAATACTGTCTGGAACTAATCACACTTGATATTTGCCTGTGTTTTATCTAAATTATAGGATAAAAATTTTACTACTGCTAGGGTTTACACTGTCTGGTAGCGAACACTTTTATCTGTCATTCGTTAAACTAACGACCAATATAATTCAATCCCGAATTTTTTCTTATCCGCAGTATTTTTTAATAATATTTTTAATTCAATTTGCTCAAGTTTAACTGATCTAGATATCGTAAAACTCATCGAAATTTAATGACAAAAATTTATAAGCAACGAAAGAAAAATAGTACCTTTGCTACGTGAAAACTGTTACTAACCTGCGACTCCTTCAATTAGTACCCTATGTGTTCTTCCAGACTATTTTCTTTTCAGCTATTCTGGAGATACCTTCAAACAAACATACATCCATACATCTAAACATTCGCATTTTTAATATTAGTAAGATTAAGTTAAAAATAAAGACAGAATATGAGTTATATGGGATAGCCCAAAGCATACGAATAACTGACTAATTAAAGTTTAGTATATTTTAGTTATAGTTTAATTAACTCTTAATTACCATACTAAAGAGTTTTATGTTGCTAATTGGCTTTATTTAAATATAACAAATGTAGTCAAAGTAAACAGACGACCATGTCCAAACCCCTTTGTTAACAAGAGGGGCAGAGTTGTAGTCAATTTGAAATGCTAATGCCCCCACTAAAGACAGCCTTGCAAGAAAATCTTATAACATATTCATTAGACAATTATTGTTTAGATTGAGTTTTCTAACTTCATCAGCGACGCAGTTAATTACGAATATAGCTTGTTTTAATCTATCGTACAAATATGTAAACAATTTTGTTAAATTAATTTCTGTCTCCAAGTGAATGGCCAAATAGGCTATTAGTCAAATCCTACTAGATGATTACACCGTTAGTTTTTAAGACTAAAATCCAAGTTTTATCAAAGATAACGACAGGGATGATATGTTTTATATAGAGATTTCGTTCTTTAGCTAGATGTAATATTTTTAACCTTTAGTTTTTACGTGTTGAAATCTATAGATTATTTGGACACAAAATGTCAATTTTGTGCTGGTGCTACGTAAGCGAACAATAGCGCCGTTGTTTGCACTAGAGAGTATACAAGTTTTGGATAGTCTAGACAGTCCTATTTAAATAAAATATGAATTAGGTATACATTTAAAAAATCTATACATATTTAGAAAGTAAAATACATTAAAATCCTAGACAATAATAAAATGACTTAGTGCCCTAAATTGTAAGTAATATATTTACGTTTGATAACCGAAACGCTTGCTACGGTATAAAGTCACTATGTAAAAAATTTTTTTTAAAAATATTAGTCATAAAAGATTTTTTTGACTAAGGTAATTAGATAGAATGGTAAAAAGCCCTGACTTGTAAAGAAACTTTGCAGTTGGAATTATCCCAAACTTTAAGGAGCGTGTGGTCATTGTAAGCGTCGTGGCGTACTTGGTGCGGCTTCAGGTAAACTCATTAGGCATCGACCTCGGGCCAGTCTCACTGCCGCAGATATGTTAGGCACTATGCGTTTACGATGAACTGTCTACTTGAAAATTAGACATGACTCACGAGTCTATTTTGCACGACTTTTATATTCTCCTATATTAAGTGATCCATGATTCTTATAAAGTTATCAGAAAAAAATGTCAATATTTCGAAGCTAGTAGGATGCATCATAGCAGAGCCTCTTTCCGAAGTTACCTAAAGTTGTTTAAGTATTCTCTTTCTTGCATTAACTTTGGCAATGGCTCTATAACTAAGTATATTGTTGTATAAAACGAACTTGAAACATAGTGTTAGAAAGATAAAATAAAATTCACTATTTTTGAAAATAAACGTGTATTGTTGAATATGAACAGAAAAAGACAACGGATAAAATTTTTGTCATATTTAAAAAGAATAAATTATTTTTTTCTTTTCTATGTGGCCTGACTGAAAGTATTGAAACTCCTTGGACACATAGTATATAACATAATATATAAATAACGATATTATTTTTTTTTTCAAAAGATCTATAAATTGGTTTATAGTCATATTTCTTCTATACCTACTAAACTTTATGTCACGTCTAAGTTAAATAACTGAATTAATACCGTTTTCTTAGAAATGTTAAGATAATAATATGTACCTCATTTTGTGAATAATTGGAACGGTCTGAATCTGTCGTCACGAATTACCTCACTTCATTGATTTAATAGGTTTATTCGAACACTGTTTGCGTCAACCTGTTTGTGTAGGTGTTTCCACTGTTAAAAATCTCTACAAATACAAATTTATGTATTGTTATCTCTGTTTTTATAAAGAGTATGAATGGGATGCCACTACCTTTTTAAACATCTATTTCGTTATTGGTAACGCGGATAAGAGTAAAAAAAAAGATTTTTTTTTTTTTAAATTGCAATTCTTTTACCTTAGTTAAGTTTAGTGAGTTTCATAATATTAATGTGGCATAATACTTATAAAACCACAAGCTTTTAAATGTACGTTCGTGTTAGCATGTACTGTAGCATTATCGACTGTATCCTAGTGCGGTTAGCCGGCCCTTCCGGTAACGCCGCCCCCGCCCCGCTGTCCCGCCGTCCCACAGCCCCGGTCAATGTACTCTTCTGCTACTCTATTGTTGTTCATTACTCTCGCATTGTTGCTAATATTGCGCTTCCCAAATAAAGAGAGTTGAAGTGAGTGTTAAAGATACGAAACGAGACGAGTTTTTACAAAAGGGTGTAAAAGCGTCAATAGTCGCGTAGAATTTTTGCTTCCCCTCGTGGCGACCGGCGCACCGCCGCCGCACCGCCGCCGGCTGGGTTTTAATGAAAATTGTATTCAGGTCAAGCGTCGCGCATCTAGGTTGGTTTTGAGGTTGTGTTTCTCAAGAGGTAACTCAGTAGGTAAAATTTGATTATCAGCGAGCAGTCGTGGCGCGGCGCCCGCAACATTATGTAACAACGGCCTGCACGCCGCCCGGACCTGGGCCGCAGTCGGAGTTGGCGGTTGAAAAGTTAATGTTGTCTCCTCAACTTCTCCGGACAAATCTCTGGGACTACGCGAGTTAATCGGTTCGGCATTATCCCGATCGGTAATTCCGTGATTTACGGCTCGGAGGGTTTGTTTACCGGGGCGGGGCCGGCGACGGCCAGCTGACGGTCGATACGAGCTCGGCGCGCAGGCGCGGCGCTATCGAGCCCACTCGGGCCGCCGCCGTCGCACCGGGCCGACGTTATGCATGCCGGGACTTAGCGGGCCTCCGCGCGCGGGCCTCATGGGCACCGTGCTGAGCTTCAGCCCGCGAGAGCGGCGCCCGCCCGCCGGAGCGCCGCCCGACCGCGCCGCCCTCGCCTACTCTTACGAGCGCCTCAACAATGCCAAGAACCGCGAGAACCGAGACGCGCCGCGCGATGAGCGCCGCGCCACTCTCGACGACGCCGCCAAGATCATCTCCGAGAAGACGGCGCTCGAGAAGAACCTCAAGAAACACTCGCTGTTCATAAACGCGCTGTCGTGGAAGAGGTTCTCGACCGCTAACAACAACAAGAAGAAGCTGGAATGCAAGAGCAAGAGTGTGACGACTTTCCGGGCGCCGCTGACGGACAATGCGCCGCTCGACCGCAACAAGAATGTGAGCGTGGGGGCGCCGGGCGGAGGGGCGCTGGGTGCGCTGCGGCCGGCGCCGGCGCCCGCGCCGCCCGAACCGCTGCGGGCCAGCGTGCTCAACAACAACGTGTGCGAGAAGCCTCCGCCGGCGCGCAAGACAGTTATCCAGGCGTCCACCTCGGAACTGCTCAAGTGCCTGGGGCTGTTTCTGCACGCGCGCTGCCACCGCCTGCGCGACTTCCAGGCGGGCGACGCGGTCATGTGGCTGCGTACTGTCGATCGCTCTCTTCTGCTGCAGGGCTGGCAGGTATAACACCCTTATTCATTATACTTTTTTTCTATTTCACCTTATAAAAGTCAGGAGGCTTGTCTTATGTGACACTAGTAATCTAATTAAGTCGAATGTGTTGCGAAAACTTAAGCTTGATTAACCTTACTTATTTAACGTAATTACTGATACTATAGGTACTGTTTTTAATATCATTAAATAAATATTATAAAGTTTATAAATACTGGAATGAAATAAATTAATGTAATAAAAGGCTTAGTAGTATTTATGCAAAATAGTAAGCATTTATTGCAATTTTTATTTAAAACTCCTTTTCAGTTAAATATTTACACGTTCCATTTTACAAGTCTAGCTTCAATGCTGCCGAACATACTGTAGTCGCAGAGCAATTTGAGATGTTGCCCGCACTGAAATTTCATATTGCGCAACGGAAAAAATTAATAAATTATGAATATTAGAATATTTTCTCGCTATAAAAGTCGAAAACTTTATGAAAATTATTACATTTTTCGATAAATCTCCCCTTATATTGTGGATTTTCTAAAGTTGAAACATCTATCATCTGTCTCATAATTACTGTTTTACAAAACATATTACTACCCCTTTCTTTCTTTTGGAGAGAAATGAGACAACTAAATGTTTATTGTAGTAAAAGAAAGAGGCAAGATGAACAGGTAAGCTCCGATGTAAACATTGCTAAATCTCACTTCTTACTAATATTATAAATGCGAATATTTAGATGGATGGATGTTTGTTTGAAGGTATCTCCAGAACGGCTCAACAGATCTCGCTGAAATTTGACACACATGAAGAACATAGTTTTGACGAACACATAAGCTACTAATTAAGATTTTATTAATTCCTCGTGGACGGAGTCGTGAGCGACAACTAGTATATGATAATATTCTTCGTCTATGTGGTTTTACAGTCATAAAGTCTTGGATATTAATGAAGGGTAACTTTTTATTGCTATGTATATATCTTTTGTTTTACGTTTATTGTTCGTGTTAAGGTTGTTTGGTGAATAAAAGGTGATTTTATTCAGCAGAGGTAGTTATGTAAAACGAATGGTCGATTGTTACGTATTTCCCGTATCGTTTGCCAAAATTTCATTAGATTTATGATAACGAAGTGGAATACATTGAACATTTTTAATAAAATTATATACTTAGGTAGGTAAGTTTTTATTATGTTCATATTATTTCTATAAATATACTTAAATGACGATCGACCCAGAAGTTTATAGCCCCAGGTTGAATACACGTGGCTATTTTTACAACGGTCGCAATTAAACGTGAAATGCGTTGGATTTATGACGAAGTTACATTTTTTACTTTTAATTAGTTAGCTTTTCTATGTCTTCATTTTCCTTTAATATGCCGATGTGAAAAATGCTGGCTGTAGGGGATGTTCGTAGAACAATGTTTTGCTAGGGACGACCAAAAATATCCCACATTTTCAAATTGATCTGTGACTTACTGAACATCCTGTATTTTAAGTGATTATTAAACTCCATCCTGGAGATTTGATTCTCCGCTGTTACTATGAATTGTCCGTTGATGCATCTCATACAATAAACAGGTAACAAAATAAATTATATCAGCCGTTTTACTTTACTAACATAGTCGTATGATCTATTTTTGTACTAATACTATCTGGATGTAAAAGTCTATCTGAAATAAAAGTATTTTTTTATAAGGAAATAGCGTAGATAATATATATATAGAGTAGATGATGTAGCGCGTTTAACAGTGGTAGAGCCCGCTTTAACATCTTCGCACGAATCGGCCCGGCTCGCCCGGTGAAATACCACGACCACACAGAAGACAGGAGTGAAGTGGAAGCTATTCCGCGTTTCGTCTGAAGAGTGTGTGTCCCGGAGGCCTAATTTAGTTCTCTTTCCCTTCCCACCTTTTTCTTATAAAAAAAGGATGGGAAGTGGAAGTGGACTTTCCGGATGAGGGGATGCATGGGAAGGGAAAATACTTTCTTTCTGTGCATCCCCTTTTCCGTCGATTAAAGGTAGGCAGCGCATATTCAATTGTGTATGCCTATGGTCAACGGTAACTTCGTAATTTCAGCGATTTCAGGTGGACGCTCGCTCGTTTGCCACCGTATAATAAAAAAAAAAGATAGCGTGAGTAAACACTGGATGACTTTTTAAGTATTAAAAAAGTGCGACCTTAAGTCTTCTTTATCAAATTGCAAAGCGTATTTCCCCTTCAACTAATAGACTTGACTTGATAACTTAAGTACTAAGTTCATTGAATATTACTTCAATACTTTATCATATGTTATCAGTAAGTATTACATAAACTTGTTTTCATGTTATCATCATACATGTAACATACTAGCTGTCGCCCGCGACACCATCGCGCGGAATTGAAAAAATTGATGAGTAGCTTATGTGTTCTTCCAGACTATGTTCTACATATGTGCCAGATTTCATCAAGATCCGTTGGGCTGTTCCGTAGATACCTTCAAACAAACATCCATCCATCCATTCATCTAAACATTCGCATTTATATCAGTAAGATAGCACCCGCGAATTTTCACTGTAAAAATCCTGTACAACTTTTATAATTTGATTTATTAACGAGAATGAATGTACAAAATATGTGTGAAACACAGTGAAAACCGACTTTAATTTGGAAAATATATTTTAAAATAGTAAAAGAAAAACAGGTCACATGGAAAGCAACTTTATGAAATTCACATTTGCAACACCAGTTCTGAGTATGAATCATTTTCTAGCTGGTTTATTTTATATATGAATGCCTATAGAAAGTTACATTGAAAAAAACATCGTAGATTTTGTAATGAATAAAAGTATTTTAATTGTGATATATTATGTTACTATTTTAATTTGATATTTGTCTAAAATGGCTAATTAATTACTTTACATAATAACTGCAATATTTTTTTTTGTAGACGGCATCATATAATGGTTATTAAAGGATCTTTTGGTCACTTAGTGAGCCACTTAGTGTACATTTCTCATACTAACTGCCGAACTCAGAATTATTTAAGTCGCGAGTGATATCTAGTATTACATGTAGGTATGTACCTTTGTTTATTTCATACAATTTCCTATATGCTACTGACCCTATTAATATAGTTTTTCTATGGTATATTAATTATTTAGTATGATTCTATAGCTTGCTAAACCTCTACTTCATCTGTATTACAAAATAATAGAAAGTTTGATATATTGTTAGAAAATCCCATCGTAAATAAAATACTCACCAAATTATTTCAACATGAGTCATTTTAAGGTTAATTTTAAGGTTATTCCGTTGTGAAATACGTTAAATTGTTACGTAGTACCATTTTCCACATTTACAAGAGAGAATGACGCAGTTAATTGTTTTCAACGACCGGGAACTTTTAGTGTCGCAACTTTAACAGTACTTTTTACATTCTATTTTTAAAACGAGAATTTATAAAAAACAAGTGGCGATATTACAGAGTAAAAACCATTACGACACAAGTTTTTTCGTAGTCTTTTTATATGAAAATAACCGTATAACTAACTAGCTTTTGTTCATGACTCCGTCCGCATGGATTAAAAGAAACTTAGTAATTAACCTATGTGGTCTTACAAGCTATGATTCTACATCTCGTTCTACGTTCTGGAGATATCTTCTAACACTCATCTATACATCCATTTAAACTTTCGAATTTATAATATTAGTAAGATTAATGTGTAGTATAATTACTTACGTAATAAGATAAGGAGTAACTTTAATCTTTATTTAATTGAAGTTATTAAATTCTAAATGTGTACGCGGTATAAAAATGCGTCATAATAATCGTAGAACAACGTAGAGATTGCTACGCGGGTTCTACGAAGTGCTTATATTCGTTATTTGCACCAACAATAATGTTGATAAATTGAGTTCTTTAAATTGTTTTAAAAATAATAAAAAACTTTTTGCAACGAGCGGTATAGGAAATTTTGCCTTATGAATAATTTTACTTATATATGTTTTCCTTTATTATATTTTAGTATCATACTTTTTTTTTTTTCTATATATTAAATGTGTGTATTCCAAATACACTTGCAGTATTTCACCAGTCATTCTACCTGACACGTCCCAATTTATTGCCCTTCTTAAAAACAACATAGACGATACATTTCTTAAGACCCTTCCATCCATTTACATTACCGGATAGGATGGTAAAAGTTACATTGGCATTGGGGTATGGGAACAAAGTTCTTCAAGTATCTTTACATTTTACACACAAATGCAATAATATAACTTTATAATTTACAAATGAACTAAGTGTTTACGACGACATACCAAGTATATATATCTATATGTATAAAAGAAAGTGGTGTTAGTTACACTATTTATAACTCAAGAACGGTTTCACCGATTTGGTTGATAATCGGTGAGGCGGTAGCTTAGAGCCAGGAGATGGACATAGGATACCATTTGTTCATTTTTCGAATTTATGCCTTGAAGAGCTGCTTTTTATTTAACTTACTAATATTATAAATGCGAATGTTTAGATGGATGTGATGTGGATCGATGGGTGTTTGAAGATATCTCTAGAACGGCTGAACGGATCTCGATTAAATTTGGCATACGTATAGAACATAGTCTGAAAGAACACATAGGCTACACTAATTAAGTTTTTTTTATATATTCACGCGGACGGTGTCGCAGGCGACAACTAGTTTAGTATGTTTTACAAAAACTGTAGTTTATATTTGTAAATGTGGCCCTCATTTACTAGTAATGATATGTCGCACCTCATTTTTAAAGTAAAATATTTTTTTATTTAATACCTAATTATCTGATTAAAAAGATGGTGTTTTTTTATATTTAGTGGAAATTACATTTTAATGATCACTTCCAGTTGGCCTAGTTCTATTTGTTCTGATTACCGTCAACTTGCGTGCGTTTAATCATTCATTCGATATGTATGTACCTGAGGTGGGTGATATCAGATCGATACGTACGTCGCTTTCAGTGTGAAACGTACTCGAGCTATTTGTTTTACGAGCGCTG